TGTAGCATTAAATCATATCTAATTAAAGATCTGAACAAATATTGGACGTCAGCTTTGGTATATGATTTGATTCTCGGTGCTACTGACACATTTCTTTCTGTCCCAAAGACGTAAAGGTTCAATACTCAGCCCTAACTACCATAAATATTAAATGAACTGGTTATGAAAGGGATGATTTGTGGTCTTACGGTGTGATTTGTGTATCCTCTCCTCCCAGCAGGGATTAGTAACACCCAGGCCTGAGGAAGAGTTGGAACGACTCACCAAGAAGTTGGTATATGATATGAACCACCCCCCTTCGGAGGACTATTTTGGTACAGTCGCCGCTCGTTACATTAACAACCTATGACACCGCAAACCTGCCATTCTGGTATTTAAAGTAAAACTGAGATACGTGACACTTTCACCTCCGCCTCCAGGTCGCTGCGCCCGCTGCGGTGACAACGTGGTCGGTGACGGCAGCGGCTGTATCGCCATGGAGCAGGTCTTCCACGTGGAGTGTTTCACATGCATCACCTGCCACGCCCGTCTCCGAGGGCAACCCTTCTACGCCCTCGACAAGAAGAGTTACTGTGAGAGCTGTTACATTGTAAGTAAAGGAACAACGTCTGCTCTTCTACTTCCTTTCCTCCGTTCTGTCCTTCCTACTCTGATCCGTACACCTGTCTCTACTTTTTTCTTGTCAGAGTACATTAGAGCGCTGTTCAAAGTGCTCCAAGCCCATCCTGGACCGTATCCTGCGGGCCATGGGGAAGGCCTACCACCCTCGCTGTTTCACATGTGTGGTTTGTAACTGCTGCTTGGACGGGGTGCCCTTCACCGTGGACGCAACCTCTCAGATACACTGCATAGACGACTTTCATAGGTACGAACACATTCAAACAGCACGCTTGCTTGTTACGTGATGTTCTTCCTGATGTCCGCTAACTGTAAATTCTGATGCTTGTTCTCCGCGGCAGGAAGTACGCGCCTCGCTGTTCAGTGTGTGGTGAGCCCATCATGCCCGAACAGGGCCAGGAGGAGACCGTGAGGATAGTGGCCCTGGACCGCAGCTTCCACGTTAACTGTTACATCTGTGAGGTGAGTCTGGACCGGATTATATAACACAAAATACCAGAAACAGCAGGACCTGTTGATTTAAGGTTTGAGAGTTAAGAGTATTGGAGTTTGATTAGAGAATGCACATTCTTCTTGAGATTATAGTTTTAGCGCAGGTAGAAGGAGAACTGTTGATTAATACAAAGTTTAATGAGCCAAAACAGTCACTTATTATCAGTTAGAGGCATTGACATTTGATGAATAGGGTCTATGTAACTTTTTTAAACTATTTAACTAATTAGAAAAGTTAATAAGACTACAAGATTTGTGCAAAATGTTTAAAAAAAACCTAAACTTGCCTGTAAAATGTAGAATTAAATGACTTTATGTCACTGTATTTGCTGGATTTGTAACCTTTTTACGTGTATTTGTGAGTCCGTGTGACAGCGTTGAGTTGAACTGACTGCAAGTGTCTGTATCCATCAGGAATGCGGTCTCCTGCTGTCCTCTGAAGGGGAGGGTCGAGGCTGTTACCCGCTGGACGGCCACATCTTGTGTAAGAGCTGCAGCGCTCGCCGCATCCAGGACCTCTCAGCCAAAATCTCCACGGACTGCTAACCAAACCTCCTGCGTCCTCTCACTCTCGCACATCCACGGACGAGGCAACATATTACACGTCGGCGTTGATAGTACAGAGAGGAAATGCCTGTGCTTTGTTCAGAGTCGTGAGCTACTTTTTCTTTTCTTTTTTTCTTGGTTGCTCTGACTGTGAGTTGCCATAAACATTGCTATAGTTCCCTCTGTTGGTATCCAGCTGCAATTTAATTTACAGAGGAACATTTACTGATTTTAAAATTAGAGTTCGGATGGAGCAACCACCTTTGCTACCTTGTTTCCTTCCACTCAGAAGTCCGACGACATTTTTCTTTCACTTGTGGTACACAGCTGCCCCATTTTTCATGTTTAGTTCAGTATTAGTTTGACAGTGGCCTGACCTGCAGGCAGCTTGGGCTCCACTTACCATTTATTCACACCGGTACTGCTCGACTATTAGCTCGCACATTGTTATGGTATGGAAGGATATTATAGATTTAGACCTGAAAATGAGGAGGGTTTTTTTTGTTTGCGAAAGAAGCAGCATAAATGATAATTAGGATGACGGCTTGTCTTAATCCGACTCAACGTCGGGACCTGTACATTTGTAAAACACTAAACATTTAAAGTGCAGAAACTGCCTCAAAACAAGCATATTAAAAAGCACATAATGCAACAACTGTGACTGTACATAACAGGCTGGTTTGGTTTGATGATGAAACTGTTTTGAAAAAAGCATGTAGCCTTTTTAGTGCAGTGAAAGTAGCCTCATAGCACGAGAAATGTAGACGAAAGGAATGTGTAGTTCAATTTACCACCCAGACCGTAGTTTTCTTTAGCTTTTCTTAATCGCTAGTACAATATTCGCTACATTATAGTGTCATGTTTCGTTATTAAATCAAAGCTCATAACAGGATTTTTGCCATCTTTTTTTTTTAATCATCCAGAATAACATTTTTGAATGTCTACAAAAACACAATCTTGCTTTGGTTTGTTTAACATTTGTTTTTGGTTGATACTTGACTGTTACATTGAAGATGATGGTGCAATGAAGTCAAACACTTTGTTCTAAGGAAAAACAGGGTGTCGGCCTCTAACGGGGACATCCTATTGTGTGAAGCTTGAGCCTCGTGAAGAGTTTGTACATGTGCCATTTACGGGGGAAATATGAAACTAAAATCATACTCGATTTAAAAGTATATGGGTTGAATTCATTTACTCGACAAATACTGTTCTTCACATTAGACAAAATAAAAGTGGAATTTAACGTGATGTATTTGTGATTTTGGAAAACAGCTCTTCACACGCGTTTTTTTGTTCGTCCTTGCACTCACGTGGGCCAAGTTGTCATTCTCTGAGACTTTGGAGCTACAGTATTTGTTATGATTGTGTTTAACCTCTTGTCTTTCCGTCCTGATTTTTGTACACGTGTAACTTTAAAGGGCTAGAAATCTCAAAAGCCTTACCTCAAGGATGTCACTCAGTTTCATAATGATCCTTTTTTTTTTGTCTGTGAGTTCTGCTTTTTTTTTTTTGCTTTTGTGACAGATCGTGATCATGCTATAACGGTTCAGTTTTTCATCTCTTGTTAATTTATCTTGTGACGTGTGTTAGCTTTAGAATCCGCTTTCTATCAACTTTATAACTTCATTCGTGCTCAGATGTCCTTTTTTTTTTTTTTTTTAGATCCTGACACATTTCATCTCTCGTGTCCTTGAATCCCGTCATTTTCTTTCCGTTACATTTATCCTCCTTTACTGTGTGTTCAGTTTGAAATGCTGTGAATTGGAGCTTGTAGATCGAAGCCTGCGGTACTGCAGCGAACGTCTGAACTGATGAATTCACACTTGAGGCCATTTTGTATGAGCAGGTTGTTCAGTACAAATGGCAGTTAGTTACACAGAGCATGTGAACACATTTTCTCCTAATACAGGTTGTAGTAACATAATTATTAAAATGTCAACAAGTCTGTCCTGTGTTTGTCACTTTTTATACAAGTTGGAAAGTTGGAAAAAATCAGGGTCATTTTGCATGGAGGCTCTAAGACAGGCACTCACCAGACAAGAACAGTCTGACAAAATATGCAATTGTGTTGCATTAAGGGACATGTAGGATGCAGTGTTTTAAGGGGCTTTACCCGTATTTAAAAATAAAAGTGAGTTTAAATCTCTTGTAAGTCTCCAAACGTCATGTGCAATACTAAATAACTGAAATACCACTTTAAATCACCAAAAATGATCCATAAAATCACAAAATGTTTATTTTAGACACTGTTTACATCCCAACCGATCTCAAAACATCCAACCTCATTACTGTTTACAACTGCCCAAACACCTGTTTAATTTGACCTCTTGCAGTAAATGATCCAGTTACAACAAAGTGAGCAAACATGGATGAACTGATCCTTCAGTCAAAAACAAAAATACTCCCAGCTTGAACGGCTCTTGCGCTCGTGTTAACACGAGGTGAACGTCTTCCAGAAGAAGTTGCGGCAGCCTGCTTTGCGCTCTCTTTGGGAGAATGGAAGATGTCGCCGCATCACCTCCTCCTTGACTCCCACCTCCTCAGCCTCCTCCGGCTCGGGGAGCATCTCGTCTCCCCGGGCCGCCATCAGTTCGGACACAAACTTCAGCAAGAGCAAGTGAGCGAGATCCTGCGGGAGGATAGAAGAGGAAAGGAGCTTAAAAAAAGCAAGTTGTTCCCAACTGTTAGACACCGTATCTCAACTCCTGATTGGCACTTCCCAAATTTAAGTCTTTTATGTATTAAATATGAGTCACTCACCTTGTCATTTGCGAGATCTGCTCTCAGTGTCTCTGTCAACATGTCTCTGCGTGGAGCACCGCTGACCTGCACCAGCAGCACAGAGGAAAACAAAACCACGAGAAGTACCTGCACCTGAGAACGAAGCATCTCCACCTCAAAGAGCAAAACACAAGAATCCAACTCTTATATTCCCCCAATTCCCTGTCCAACGGCGACGAGGTGCAATGCTGCAAAAGTGCCCCAAATATAACAAACGCTGACCAATCAGAAGGTCGCTTATCGCTGTTCGAGTAGGATGTGTTGAGCTGATAAATAGCTCTCTTCATCTTCAGATCCTCCTCATCCTCAAGCCAACGAAAGGATGTGATTGGTGGTGGAGGAGAATGGTGGAGGGGGGGGGGATTGAGGAGGTGTGTGGTGAGGTTGTGAACAGGAAGTGTCACTGGAGGGGATAAGGTCATCGCCAGCTACGACGACACTCCTGTGAGACGTCCAATGAAACCTCCAAGAGCTGGCCGTTTGGGTCGATCGGCGCTCATGTTGTAATAACTTTAAATGTGAAATATACAAGTCAAACTTAATGGTAAAATGACTTTACTTCTGTCAGTCATGATTAGCTACAGCAGCTTTGTATGTGTCATGGACTCAACATGAGGCCTGCATGCTGTGCAGTGCTGCTAATGACACAATGTGACTCAAATGTTAATGAGGCTGCTAACCAGTTCGGCTCTCCACCACCGTCACTTTGAGTCAGAGGAAAATAAACACGGGGAACATCTAAATGTCAGACTGCAAACAAACACACTTTGTGTACGTGTTTTGTTTGCAAGTTTTCCATTAAGTTTTATCACTTTTAATCTTGTCTGAAATGGAAAATTGGCAATAATTTATAGTTTGACCACCTGAAAGCTTGATGTGAAAGCACTGGTCACGGGCGTCACCGAGCTACCCAGTTAACTTAGTTCAGTGGTTGTCAACCTGAGGTTTCGGGACCACCCAGGAGGTCACAAGATCAATCTGAGGGGACGCAAGACAGTTAAAGGGGAACAAATTTTACACATGAAAGTCTGTTTACAGTCATTCAAAGTTGTTCTAAAAACCTTTTGTGGCTCCAGAGAGAACTGGAGTCAGAACTGTATGTTATAAAACTACAAGTTTGAAAATGGAAGAAATCTGGGTTGAGGAGTTAGAAAGATACCAGACCTCTATAGCCCGCTCCTCATCTCTGTATGAGACGGCTAGACGCTACACACTACAAGTAGCATAACAGACGGTGGTCGAGTTGCATTGTGGGTAATGTAGGCGCCAGGTTTATGACCAGGAAGATACGTGGACTAAAAAAAGACAGATATCTCTGGTTCTGCTGCATTGATTTTTATACTTTTTTAACCTAAGAGAAAGCAGAAAAAACACATGCTAAAATAAATCTTGTATCAGGTGAAACCAGCAGTTCTGATACTTTTATGCCTCAATATTGGTGAAATTAGTCACAAAATGAGTCAAGTTGGATGTATTTTCTTAAAATAATACTATTAAAAACTTTTTTTTGAGCTGAATAAAATAAAATCATGTTAAATGAAGATGAACTGAAGACCATCAATCATATTTGATTATTGCTACACATCTCCACAATTAAGCCCAAATTCATAATCCCCACATTCCCTCCAGTCATCCACCATCAATTGAAAACCACGACCTTCTACCAACAGGAAGGCCACCGGAAGTCTATACTCAGCTGAAACAGAACCACTCGAT